GTGTGTGTGTGCGTGTGCGTGTGCGTGTGTGTGTGTGTGTGTGCGCGTGCGCCGCGGGGAGGGGGGAGTGCCCCTCCCCCCCCGTCTGTGCAATCAAAAAACGATTGCACTCATGTACAACCTCTGGGTCCCCCGGTGTCGTGTGGAGGGACTCGTAGTATCTCATAGACCGTCGGCGACAGTTAAGGAGATGGGAAGCTGCGTGGGCAGGCTCCAAGTGATGCATTAGGCGCATCTGAACCTCTCGCACACAGGGCGACAAAAGCTCTAGCGGGACTGTCAACTGGCTCATTAACCGAATGAGATGTTGATTTTACTCGTACACAATGGACATCATCATCCCTCCTTTGTCCATCCACTGCAAAAGCTTATGGACAACCTTCATCACAAGGATGACAAACTCCAGCAGACGCCTGAACTTGCTATCGTGAATCAGAAGGCACACCCACCGAGCCTGCGACAGGAGCCTCCAATCCCACGGAATGCTAGCCCACGCGTTATCGTGCAACATAGATTCCAACGCGTCGCATCTCTCGGTCAAACATGTCAACATAAAAAAAACGATGCGAAACGTGTTTCTAACGGATGAATAAGTCAAACACGAGAGCTCTTCGTCTTGTACAGGCGAGAGCCGCTCCCTGCGATTTGATGAATTGCACCAACACTCGTGCATGGATGATGGTGTCCCTCGCCCACTCCACTCCTGTCCCGATGTCAGACAACATCAAGTTGCAGACGTGGGTCGAGCAGGGGAGCCACGTGATGCGCTTGCCGTGAGGGTCGGGGTCCTGTGCGAGCAGCTTGGACGCCGCGACATAGTTGCTGGTTGAGTCCGTGCAGAAAGCAATAACATCCTTCACAGGGAAGGAGGTGATGATAGCCCTCCACCAGCGATAGACAATGGCCCCAGTCTCGGGGACTCAACCGTCACGGCATATGGTGGCCCTGAGACTTCGTGCCGTTCGACAACATGGTCGCGCCATATGGACGAAAGCCTCTCGGACCCTCTGAGCAAGGACGCCACCATAGCCCTCTGCAAAGGAACCACGAGACCACAGATGTCCTTGAAGGACGGAAATCGCATCCACACACATCAAGGCATCTCTTCAGATGCCTTCCTAACCTCCCTCTAAGAATGTCTCCTGAAGGCGTTGAACGAAACGTCGACATTGTACACCAGTGAATAAACTTGTCGCAAAACTTTGATTGCTTCTCCGCGTCGTAAACCTCGTCAATCCGGCTCTGCCGGATCCTCTTCCCCGACACAAGTTGAACGTCATCCCCGTCCACCGCCTTCCTCTTCCCCTTTTCCTTCGGCCCTGCCTCAAGCAAAGTCAACACGACCTCCTAGCCCTCCAAATCTACACCGCCTGACAAACCAGCCCCCTCGTGCCCTTGTCCTCGCAACTCGCGCTCCTCCGCCTCCTCGAGGACGTCTTGATCCTCGTCCCTGCGTGCATTGGATGGGGGCCTTCGTGTCCGGGGACAGCCCGCAACTGATCGTGCATCCCTGATCCCCTTCTCCTCCATGTACGACACAATGGATGACACATGCTCAGACACAAGTGTAGTGTGTGTCGTTTCATATGTTAACTAGCACGTCCATCGTTGCTGCAAGTCACTACTTCTGCTGAACAAAGTGACTCGCGACCTTCCACACGTTCCCCTGCCAGACGTGTTTGCATAGGTTGCATCTCAACTTCGGATCCCCGTGCATCCTCTCCCATGTCCCCGCCATCTGCCCGTGCGTCATGTATTTCCACACACACGAGCCCCTCCTCAACTTGGTAATGTTAGCATCTGACAGGGGGATGAATGCACTCCCCCCGGACCCGTCCGCTTCCTGACTCATTGTCGCAGACCTTGAACACGAACCGCCCCTGTGTCGATCCCGCCATTGATGAAGTTGCCCGCAAAAGATCGTAGTCGACGCCTGCGCTGCCGCTGCCGACCCCAATCACGATCCGTGCTCAATGCACCCGCGGTGAAGCCCGCAACCGCAGCGCTCACATATGCAACCATCGTGGCCGCAACTGCAGCCACGACCGCGGGTTTGAGAGTCTTGAGACCGCGGTCGCTGTGGTCGGAGCGGGGTTCCGGCGCACGGGTGTCGCTCTTGAGCTCAACACTGACGACAACGCCGTCGCCTGCGCTCTGGGAGTCTGGGGCGGTCGGAGTTCCGCCTTTCTCTCTCTCTTTCTCTCTCTCTCACAATAGAAGAAGAACAAGACGAAGAAAAAGGAGAAGAAGAAGGAAGGTCACAAACGAAAGAAAAAAAAAGTTTTTTACCTAAAACGGAAAAAAAAAAAAAAAGGAGAAAAGGTTCAAGAAGAAAGAAGAAGAAGAAGAAAGTAGAAGAAAGGGAAAGAAGAAGAAGAAGAAGAAGAAGAAGAAGAAGAAGAAGTAAGAAGGAGAAGAAGAAGAAGAAGAAGAAGAAGAAGAAGAAGAAGAAACTCTCTCTCTCTCTCTCTCTTTCTCTCTCTCTCTCTCTCTCTCTCTCTCTCTCTCTCTCTCTCTCTCTCTCTCTCTCTGTGTGTGTGTGTGTGTC